AGATTAGATAGTTAGTTACTCCCGTCTGTGATTATTACAGTGTAGCTTCATTTAGGGAACAAGGTTGCACAAAATGTTCTCAGATTAGATAGTTAGTTACTCCCGTCTGTGATTATTACAGTGTAGCTTCATTTAGGGAACAAGGTTGCACAAACTGTTCTCAGATTAGATAGTTAGTTACAAGGTTGCACCCGTTCTATGATTATTACAGTGTAGCTTCATTTAGGGAACAAGGTTGCACAAACTGTTCTCAGATTAGATAGTTAGTTACTCCCGTCTATGATTATCACAGTGTAGCTTCATTTAGGGAACAAGGTTGCACAAAATGTTCTCAGATTAGATAGTTAGTTACTCCCGTCCATGATTATCACAGTGTAGCTTCATTTAGGGAACAAGGTTGCACAAAATGTTCTCAGATTAGATAGTTAGTTACTCCCGTCTATGATTATCACAGTGTAGCTTCATTTAGGGAACAAGGTTGCACAAAATGTTCTCAGATTAGATAGTTAGTTACCCCAGTCCATGATTATTACAGTGTAGCTTCATTTAGGGAACAAGGTTGCACAAAATGTTCTCAGATTAGATAGTTAGTTACTCCCGTCCATGATTATCACAGTGTAGCTTCATTTAGGGAACAAGGTTGCACAAACTGTTCTCAGATTAGATAGTTAGTTACTCCCGTCTATGATTATCACAGTGTAGCTTCATTTAGGGAACAAGGTTGCACAAAATGTTCTCAGATTAGATAGTTAGTTACTCCCGTCTATGATTATTACAGTGTAGCTTCATTTAGGGAACAAGGTTGCACAAAATGTTCTCAGATTAGATAGTAGATAGTTAGTTACCCGTCTATGATTATTACATGTATTGTCAAAACAGTTGTAGCTTCATTTAGGGTCAAGGTTGCACAGTGTAGCTTCATTTAGGGAACAAGGTTGCACAAAATGTTCTCAGATTAGATAGTTAGTTACTCCCGTCTATGATTATTACAGTGTAGCTTCATTTAGGGAACAAGGTTGCACAAACTGTTCTCAGATTAGATAGTTAGTTACTCCCGTCTGTGATTGTCACAGTGTAGCTTCATTTAGGGAACAAGGTTGCACAAAATGTTCTCAGATTAGATAGTTAGTTACTCCCGTCTATGATTATCACAGTGTAGCTTCATTTAGGGAACAAGGTTGCACAAACTGTTCTCAGATTAGATAGTTAGTTACTCCCGTCTGTGATTGTCACAGTGTAGCTTCATTTAGGGAACAAGGTTGCACGGAATGTTCTCAGATTAGATAGTTAGTTACTCCCGTCTATGATTATCACAGTGTAGCTTCATTTAGGGAACAATGTTGCACAAACTGTTCTCAGATTAGATAGTTAGTTACTCCCGTCTATGATTATCACAGTGTAGCTTCATTTAGGGAACAAGGTTGCACGGAATGTCTCAGATTAGATAGTTAGTTACTCCCGTCTATGATTATCACAGTGTAGCTTCATTTAGGGAACAATGTTGCACAAAATGTTCTCAGATTAGATAGTTAGTTACTCCCGTCTGTGATTGTCACAGTGTAGCTTCATTTAGGGAACAAGGTTGCACAGAATGTCTCAGATTAGATAGTTAGTTACTCCCGTCCATGATTATTACAGTGTAGCTTCATTTTGGGAACAATGTTGCACAAAATGTTCTCAGATTAGATAGTTAGTTACTCCCGTCTGTGATTGTCACAGTGTAGCTTCATTTAGGGAACAAGGTTGCACAGAATGTTCTCAGATTAGATAGTTAGTTACCCCCGTTCATGATTATTACAGTGTAGTTTCCTTTAGAGAAACAGGTTGCACGGAATATTCTAAGATTTGTCCTCAAACGTATTTACTTCAATCACACACTGCTATTTCATAAGGTTTTCGAAGAAAATAGAATTTAATATTCCCATCAACTTGCCTGCAATTAAAGAATAAAAATGAAAAACAGAATATATGATATCGCACACATATGACACTACCCACAGGCATTGTTAATAATACATTCATCTATTTACTGACGATATACAGCTATGGAATTTCAAGATGAGAATTCCATTATTATTTGAAAGACTAGAGTTACAATACAAAATAAGATCATGTTGTAGAGGTGAGGCGAAATTGGATTTAACGTCGTGCTTGAGAATATTTCGCTCATATGACGACGTGCATACGTATGTGTGTATGTGCGGCTGCTTGTACTAGCCCAGACTTAAGCTGGTTTTATAGTGCTAGCCCACTGAGATACCATGCCGCAGTGAAGCATGAATACCCCACTCAGACCACTCAGACACATTATACTGACTCCGAGCCGACCAGTCCTTGTTGTACCCATTAATGCCGAGCGCCAGGCAGGGACCAACAAGTACCATATTTTAACGTCTTTTGGTATGACGTGGTCGGGGATCGAACCCGCGACCTTCCGCTCTCCGGGCGGACGCTCTACCCGGCGGTCTCATGTTGTAGATTGCATTCTACTCTTGAAATGTCATCAATGAAATAAAGTTCATATATAGTGTTAAATATGTTGTAATGTTTCCTACAGTTGTGATCTGACATCATATGTTTCACTGTCTTAGGTATTAATAATATTTGGATATCCACTCATACAGGAATAAAGAAGGCATTAGCTATAGATTTCAGCGAACGATCTCTATCTATACCACTGGCTCAAGAATTATACGTACATGCGGCAAAAAGGTATTTGGTGAAATTATAATGAAGTTGTAAAGACCATACATATCAGTAAAATTTACTTCGGGTGTGTAGATCCATATTTACTGTATACATGATGGTCGCCCTTGGTATCGTTACTTGTCCATTTGGGGCGGTGGGGTAGCCTTATGGTTATTACGTTCGCTCGTCACGCCGAAGACACGGGTTCGATTCCCCACATGGGTATAATGTGTGAAACCTATTTCTGGTGTCCCCCGCCGTGATATTGCTGGAATATTGCTAAAAGCAAAGCGGCTTAAAACTAAACTCACTCACTACTTGTCTATTTCCACGTCGCAACGATAATGTAAGGAAGAAATACACCTATAAAGGGATTTAATGTGAAACTTTATAAGTTAACAGCTGTATTGAACATTTATTAGATCTACAAATTGATACAAGTTCATGCAAAGTAAATGCAATGTCAGTACACCTTAGAGTGGCAGTACACACTTGTTTGCCTGTACAAATACATTGGCAATATAAAATACACTGGTAATAGTATTAGCAATGATGTTAGTGATGATATTGTTCACATTTGTAAAATAGGCCTAAAGCACCAACAGTGGTCAAGCTGCAACAGTAGGCCTAGGATATCCAGGGTGAAACACAATTGTTGGTCCTGAGATATGAGATTATAAAGACATACGCTTCCCCTCTATAGTCTTAGAAAGATGCCAGGACGTTAGGTATTATGTTCTAGAAAGTTAAGGGGTGGTGGGGTAGCCTAGTGGTTAAAGCGGTCGCTCGTCACGCCGAAACCCAGGTTCGATTCCGCAGATGGCTACTATGAGTGAAGCCCATTTCTGGTGTCCCCCACCGTGATATTGCTGGAATATTGCTAAAAGCCGCGTAAGACTAATCTCACTCACTTTCTCTAGAAGGTTTAAGATTACAGTGGACTCCAAACGCATCTAAATACATACCGCTTTCCTTCTCTGAATCATAACAGTGACGATGTAATACAATGATTACATCACTGACCAACAAAACTACCATATAATGGTTTTGTGTCATTTCGTCTGAATAGCTAATCCAAGGTGGGCCACGTTGGTGGGTGCCAGGTTCATGATGTACACGCTGCCCCTGTGAATATCCCACAGATGGGGACATGTCATCTGACCAGTCAGTGACCAGTCCAATATCAAACTTTGCGATAAGACCTGAGTACAATGTGTTCTGGCATCAACATCTTGAAGTAATTCTAACAAATTGACGAAAACGTCAACATTTCTCTTACGTGTGCTATCACCCATGAAACTACCGCCGTCGATCATGAGAATCTTGCCCTGGCACACCACACATCGCTTCGTCGCCAACAACTTCTTCTGCCAGCTCTGAAAAGGTGGGTAAAGCCTATAATCGTATTCAAGCATGGCGTAACGTCATTGTACATAGCATTGCCAAACCCATCCCAGACTACGTCGTCTACAGTAACCTTTATGTTTGTGTTTTGTTTATTTGTCTAACGTCGCACTTAGCAATATTCCAGGTGATTGGCGGTGGTCTGTAAATAATCGAGTCTGGGCCAGACACTCCAGTGATCAACAGCATGAGCCTCGATCTCAATTGGGATATGATGACATGTGTCAACCACGTCCGCGAGCCTGACCACCCGATCCCGTTAGTCGTCCCTTAGGACAAGCATGGATTACTGAAGACCAATTCCGACCCTGATTTTCCCGGGTATACAGTAAGCTGTTAGGGTCACACCATTCACAAGACTCCAGACTTCCAGGCAGACTGCACAGAGCCAGCGTTAAAGATAAGTGTTGAAATTCGCCTTCCTGTTTTTTGCATGGAAATCTCTATTGATTGCAAGAGCGGATCTGAATCTATTGCGCAATGCAATTAATGTAATGAGGGGATCTTGTCTAGGTGTCGCTTTTTAGGACTGCCAGATTTCAGTAGAACGCCATCCTTTTGGCAGTTTTAATTTACACTTTTTAATCATCCAAACATTCGAGCAGTTTTGGATAATTAAAACAGAAAAAGATATTTTAAAACCTCTATCGAAATTTTGTAGTCTTCTCCGAGGTATTTTTAGCATACGCTTGACTTAATTGCATTAATGAATGAGTGTTCTCAAACAGGCGCACACACTTTGGCATCTGTGCGCACGTACATCACACGCTGTTCATGCACTATATATAAATACATTGTGATCCGTTTTGTCGCGTTCAGATCCAACGCAACGGTGTTGTGAATGTAGTCCTCAAACAAAGCCACATTGAAACGATTAGATCATATATATGTTTTGGTAGTGCGCATACATGCGAGTTTGCCAAACAGCTTCTTTTATCCTCAGATGTCGCCACAAGCAAGAAAGCCACCAGGTTCCACAAGGCAACACCAGAGCAAGCAGTAGCACTACTACCAGGCATCGCAAGACCCTGAAAGAAACTATCACCAGGCACGACAAGACCCTGAAAGAAACTATCACCAGGCACGACAAGACCCTGAAAGAAACTATCACCAGGCACGACAAGACCCTGAAAGAAACTATCACCAGGCACGACAAGACCCTGAAAGAAACTATCACCAGGCACGACAAGACCCTGAAAGAAACTATCACCAGGCACGACAAGACCCTGAAAGAAACTATCACCAGGCACGACAAGACCCTGAAAGAAACTATCACCAGGCACGACGACCTGAAAGAAGCTATCACCCCTGAAAGAAACTATCACCAGGCACGACAAGACCCTGAAAGAAACTATCACCAGGCACGACAAGACCCTGAAAGAAACTATCACCGGGCACGACAAGACCCTGAAAGAAACTATCACCAGGCACGACAAGACCCTGAAAGAAACTATCACCAGGCACGACAAGACCCGCAAATGTCCTAAACGATTCAACTACACATCACGGCCTGCTTACAGAACAAGACCAAACAAAGTGCTACTACGACCACCACATTTTGCCACAAACGAGGCTCATGTAAACAAAAACACGCCCACAAGTCCAGGCAACACACCACCAACAAGATTTCACAACGTATCGCCTAAAATACTGGAAGCTATACATAGCCAGAGAGTGGCGGACACACAAAACATAATTCACCACACACAGTCATCACCTGACATCTCCAGACACACAGACACTTTCGGATATCACCTGAACACCTCCAGGTTCTGTCCGTTTATTGAAAACAGCATAGGTTAGTCATCAAAAGGCAGTAAAATCGGTTACTTCTACCGGAAGACGCGTAGCTGTATACAATTTTACGTGGACCTCTATTCAAGTATACTTTTTAGAAAATGTAGAGGATAGTACAAAATAGCTTAACATTTCTAAAATTGTAAGAGATACATGTTTCTCAGTGATACCTGCACAATCCAGTGATCCACCACCAAATTTGCCCTGAGGTCTGAGACAGACATGGATTTAACGTACATTCGGCGTCGCCAGACACGACTAGACCTGTCAAGGAATTGCAAAGTGAATCAGACAAAATTTATTCTGTTACCAATAAGCAACGATCACCCTGGTTCCGACATAGTGGACGGCAAAGACGTCTGTTGACACTATGGTGAAATTAAAAGGGACACCATAACACGAGACCGTCGAGCAAGGAGATACGGTACATGTCGACGATTTCCAGCCCTCTGTCCCGTAACTCTCCCTCCTGAAGAGTTCAAGCTGAATGTTTGCAGGGACATGTTTCATCGTTTCAGCTCGGTTTCAGCGAACCTGGTTTCTGATCAGTCGATCCTGTCTTCTTGTCGATGATCTGGGACGCCCTGAACGGAGTCGGTTGTTTTGGGGCTGGTGATACCTGCCTCATAGTCGCAGACATATTAGCCCCCGGGCCATGGAACATATACACACGTATATGTAATGTGTAACACATACATATAACGTTTCCGGCATCCTTTTTAAGAATGGGACTTTAGATATATTGTTGATATAAATTGTTGAAGTTTTCCAGCTGCCCAATACTTGTCATTTGACAGCTGCCGACTCTTGCACAGAGCTTCAACATTTGTGTCGCCTACCGTCTAATCCACAGCAAGTTACAACCACGCTATCGCCTATAGTCTGACATCTCAATGGGCCTTCTTCAGCGGACCCTCGTCTTAAGCCATCGCTGAAAGAAACATGTCGTAAAACACGACCTATGTCTCACTTAATAACGTCGTGAAGTGACGCGTCTTGAACCCAGCTGGTAGACTGTATTCAACACGTATCCTAACGAATGGTAGATGTACTAGTTACTGCTCTAGTACGATATTACCTATTACAACGTTGCGAGACAAGGACTGAATTGATCTGCTATTATATCTCACTGACTCGACAAGTCTCGATGGGCCGATTGACCGTTGGAAGAGCCACGAACTTCAATACAACTCAGAGAAACAGATGAGTGAGTGAGTATGGTTTTACGCCGCTTTTAGCAATATTCCAGGAATATCACGGCGGGGAACACCAGAAATGGGCTTCACACATTGTACCCATGTGGGGAATCGAACCCGTGACGTGAATGCTTTAACCACTAGGCTACCCCACCGCCCGACACAGATGAAGATAACATACTAGACACAGAGAATTACGAACAGGTGTTACAGAGACACTTTAGGCAACTCGCTCTGATTGTGTGGGTTCGAATCCAAGATGGGGCTCAGGCCCCAACACTCTCTACTTTACTGAGAAAGCATAATCGCAAATATAACATTTACATTTGGCCACTTTCTACACGGCATTTTGTATTAACAACGTATACCTATTTCACCTCTACACCGTCCATTCCTGCCCTACTCCACACAGTACCAATATAGTTATACCTATTTCACCTCTACACCGTCCATTTCCTGCCCTACTCCACACAGTACCAATATAGTGGTCAACTCGAAACTCTCCTATATCCACTCTGCACAGCCTTACATACCCCTGTCATCAGAAATGAGAGACATATTATCAGCTAATCCGCAAATTTCCTGGTGAGACTGTCGGAGCTTTACATCTTTTAATCAAAGCCATTGTGTTTGGATTCCACTTCTTATCGCCAAAAGCCAGTCTGGCCCAATAACCGCCATCGCGTCTGTACCTCACCGGAAGTCCAACAGCAACACGCCATTTTATCTCTGATATACTGTAAACGTTTTCGATCATTAATGTTATGACTTCCTTGTTTAAACAAACGAGGTCTTCTCAAACAAGTACAGCATACATCCATCAAGCCGAGAGGAGTTCATGTATACAGATTAGCTAAATAATCGGTCCCTCCCTCTTGGAGACACGGGGTGATTATACGGAGTAATCCCAACATGCAAACACAACACGATGTCCATTAGAGACCATTTACAGCAATCTGTTTAGTGTCTGGGTAAGACAAAAACATCGAGAGCTCTTTGCAATGAGCAAAAAATGTATTGTGTAAGGCGAAGAAGTAGTTGTAACCAGGGTGATGAGAGAATGGTTGACCTCATGGGAATGTAGGTGGCTAGCTGTGACAGAAACACTAGGATACCAGCAAGTCTTGTATCATGATTCGTTGACATATGCTCGGAAATAGTTGTCCATGACATATGCATGCAGAAAACAGTCGGACAAGTTCATACATGGACACACTCACTCACGCACACACGCACTCACGCACGCACGCCATACACACCACACTACACCAGACCGTACCACCACCACCCACCACACACCCACACACACACACACTTTAAGGACTTTGTAGACTTTCAGTACACCCCGTCCCATAGAGTAAATCAGTCACCTCGGCACGTATCATTAGCTGCCCCAATCACAAAATCCACTCCAGAAACCTCTAATCATGAAAAGAAAACTGACAGAAGCATTCCAGAATCGCTGCCTCAAGCCTTCTATCAACGGAGATCGCGGCTATTTCATCCCATCCGCCTACTATGAACTCATCAAGCAATTCAATCATCCCAACTTAGTGATTTAATCCGTTTAACCCAGCCTTTAAATGGCATCATCATCCTGATTCCTGTGCCCACATTGGTATCCTTCTGTTGGTATTAGTTCACCTAGTCATGTAAATTCTAGTATGTAAGTGTCAAATCACCACAGTACAGTTATGCCAGCCAGACGTTTTAACGTTGTATTGTATAGTTTTTTCTTTTTGGCCTAACTTGTCAATCATCGCCCGTGGCTGAGGAGGTGTGTGCGTGCGTGCGTGTGCGTGTGTTTTGTCTGTTGGTTGGAAAGGGGGACGGGGTAGGGTGGTGTGTCAATCCGGCCGGTACCAAAAGTCCCCTATGATGTCTGGCGACCTATTGCCAATTTCTCCATCATTGATGCTGATTAAGCATTTACAAAAATGTATTCGTTTAAATGTCATCAACTAGTTTCAGATTGTATCTCCTTCCGTCGCTGAGAAGTGCTTTGATTTTAACTATATTTCATATTTATGTTGAACCTCTCGTCACGTTATTGCTGAAACATTGCCAATGTGCCGGATATACACCGAAACGTCGCAACTGCATGATAAGAAAATGGTTATCTCTAAACTTTTGTCTTCTTTGCCAGCGAGGAATTTATGTCTGTGTGGGAGCAACTGTAATAAACATTACTGCAGCACTCGCTTGTTCCAGTTTTTAAAAGAATAAAACCTCATTGATAAATTAAGAAAATATTCAAACCATTTGTTAAAAGAAGAAGTCCAACTTCAATATTCCCAACTGTTAATCTTTATTTCCAAATGTGTATTTCTAAATACATGAGTTTGATGCAGAAAAAGATATTCCAGTGAACAGTTCCCTCAAATTATAATTTTTATATTGCTTGAATGGACAATTAAAATAAGTGTTTAAATAAGTATTTTCAGCTGTTTTAGCACCAGTACACAAACTCTTGTGTCACAACAAGACGAAATACTTAAAACTATCACAAGTATTTCATTCGTTTTACAGACACCAATGCCGTCAGCATGTAGTGCAAAATCTAATAACATAGCTACCTTTAATAGTAAATACATTAGATTCCGGATAATGGGATTGTATTATATTTGCGTTTGAGTATATGAATTAGATATAAAGGCACAAAGGTTTGAATTCCAATACGGGAAAACATAGGTTACCCATAACAACCCTGTTTGGTTGCCCATCTACCAGTAATATGATACAGGTATCTATTAGGAATCTGACTAAACGGTTGGCACGCGCCTAGGATCTGTATGGGTCAAACAAATCATCATCTATCTCTCTTAAGGAATCTGGAAATCGTTCACAGTTACATATAATCATGGCAGTTAAGCATGCAAATTATAGCTTGGCTTGTGAGCAAGTGTGATTGTACCAATACTGTTATAACGTTGGATGAATATCACATGTAATGCATCATACATATAGCTTCTGTTTCCACCAATTTGTTAATTTAACCGAAGAGCAAAAACTGTTGATTTTATTATTTCATATTTTCAGTTGAAAATACCTTACGTAAGCGATGTTATACGCAAAAATGAACTGTCCGGAGTTCAATGCGAATAAACTTCTAGATGGTTTTATTTTCTAAAAAACATTATTTAAACTATCTATATATTTTAATTTAAAAACCGAAGCACAAATGCAATAATACGTAATTGATTATGGTATTTTAGTGATCTTAAAGTTGAAGAGTAGCAACTTTGGTGTGTGTGAGAGAGAGAGAGAGAGAGAGAGAGAGAGAGAGAGAGAGAGAGAGAGAGAGAGAGAGAGAGAGAGAGAGAGAGAGAGAGAGAGAGAGAGAGAGAGAGAGAGAGAGAGAGAGAGAGAGAGAGAGAGAGAGAGAGAGAGAGAGAGAGATCCTGTCATGGGCAATGTAGAGAAAGTCAATGCACCCGGTCGATATTTATAATGTACTCAACCAATCTTGACACGTGTTACATTGAACCCCACAA